GCTTAACAACTACCCAAGTTGGCTGCAGAGTTGAACTAAATTTCATTTCCAGTATCTTCCCATAATACCTACATTTCATTCTCTCTGTATGTATTTATATGGAGTTGGTGGTGTGTGTCTCAATTTTGCCATGAAGTTAGGCTTGGTATCTTTGAACTGGCTATAATAGAGGGACTGGATTTCTAGAAGTCAGAAATGTAACAACCATTCTTCTTATGAGAACCATGATTATACATATTTATTAAGTGTCCTCCTAAGGAGGAATTAAAATAAATGTTGCCAAGAAGTCGCTTGCCATTTTCATTGTTTGGAACGTTGGAGTGTGTAAGGCACATACCCGACAGTCACACAGTCCTGCTGTGGTAAGTGCTGAGGCAGAGGTAATGTGATGGGGTTGGTTCCTAGGGCAACGTAGGAAAGCTGTAAGAGATATGTGACCTAGAGTGGCAGTAAAGAATGTGCAAGATGGTACAGATCATTTTAGATGAGGGAGACAATCGCATGAAAAAGAAGGGTAGAAGAGCCAGGGAATACTGAGGTTCCTATGCTGACAACGCCTGGCCTTGAGGGAAATGCCAGGGGTGGTTCATGGACGAGGTGGCTCAGGAGAATGCAGCTCCCACCTGTTGGTATCCGACACATGGTTAAGTAGACACCATGCTGGGGATTGAAGCATGTTATCTCATAAGATCTCCCACTTCACCTCTATGAGCGACAGAGGCTTGTATCTACATTCTTCCCATGAGGCCCTGAGGCTCAGGATAACTAAGTCGCCGGAGGGTCAGTTAGTCACTACTGATAGGTTGGGAGCGTCAGCATTTGGAATCAACCCTGTCTTAACTTGGTAAGTTCTTCTGTTACACCAAATGTACTTCTGCTGTATCGTTTCCTCATAGGTAGCATGTTAGCATTTGACTCTCATTCTCAGGCATTATTGAAGGGTTCTGAGCAGAAATACACTTTAGCAGAATGCTGATGGAGGAAGTGTGGTGGCTGGGCAGATGGCAGAAGCAACCATCATGGTTGTCCTCATCTGTGGACAGGCTCCTGTAACATCTCACCCGCAGACACTGGAGTCACTGAGTGGCGTCCTTGTCAGAACTATATTTGCCATCTTTCCCAGGGAAATAAAAATTAAGACGCTGTACCCAGCCCCATTCCTTTCTAGCTTCCTCCAGGCCCATTTCCTGCCAATAATCTCTACCTTCTATTGGGCTTGTCCTCTTGGTGCACACCTCCAAGCTGCCTTAACTAACACTTACTCAAGTATGACTGACTGTAGACCACCTAATTGCCAGTTGCTCAGAAAGTTCTTCGTAATCCACAACGCCTCTCAGACTTCTAATATAATTGACCTGATGAACTCTGATCGAAAAAGATGTCCTGCCTACAGGTACCAAACTTCTTTTTATACTAGTCATCTCGAGAATGATATATACACCAGGAAAATATAGGATACCTATTTTTAATCCTTAAGAACACATCTGGAACTGTTTGAACTAACTAAAAGTAAAATAAGCGCCATGGCAGATTATGCCATACCTTTTCTTTTTACTTAAAAAGACAAAAAAAAAAAAAGAGGAAATGGAAAACATACCAGTGCGAGAAGGCCCTGACATTGAACTGGATATTGAAATCGTATTGGTAATGTATTTATATATGCCACATTTTCTTCCATGCGTCAGCCATCTTTGCTACATATGTGTTGGATGTTTGCCATGTGACAGAAATGTTACTGCAGAGGAAAGATTGTCTTATTTAGAACTGGTATGAATCATTAGGGTAGAAGTAAAGTCAACCCTTTGTAACTTACTATACTGGCCTTCCCTTCTTGATCTGATCTTTTTTTTTTCTTTTCCTTTCTTTCTTAGATTTTTTCTTTTTTATCATTTCATGCCAGTCTCTGAATAAATGTCAGAATTCCCCTACTGCACCTAAAAAATAAAAATCACATCCCAGAACAGCATAATTTCCATGAATTTAAAAAATTATATAAGAAATATTGTAACTTAACACTGGTTTTACCACATCCTCTAATTTGAAACGGAGTGAAATGCTTCTGTGGTTAAATCAGAGCTCATGTGCTGTTGGCTATAAAAGTTTCAAGAATATATATTTCAAAAAAAAGTTTTGTTTTTTTTTTTTTTTAAATAATCCAAAACAAATGCAGCAGAACTCAGCATACTTGAAACACATTTTCCGGATTTATCTTAAATCTCTGTGCTTTGGAGGGTTTGTGCATGTGTAGGGATCAGACCTGGCCTGTTACTTCACCGTCTATCTTCATCCTGGATTGATTGCAGCCAGAATGAGTTACACATGGTCCCATTTTGTCTCCGTTTGTAGGATATTGGAACTGGGATATTTGTAGGACACTCAGCTTGTAGGATATTCCAACTGAGTTGGAACTCCAGTTGATCGGAGTGAAGCTCACAGTGGCAGAGATTTGATTAATGTCAAAACCCTAAATATATATACATATGCATATATTCCGGTTACAATGTTTGTATTCCTGCTGGAAGCAGTGATGTTTTCTATGCATTGATTAATTATATGTAGTCATTTTTCCTAAAATATTGATGACATTTCAAGAATTAACAGGAAAAAAAATCTACTAGTGACAATGTTGATGTTCTGGGCAGGAGTTGTGTTACAAATGTGGACCAATATTCACAAGGTTTTCAAACTAAAATTATGACCATGCCAAAAATCTTTCAAAGATTGTGCAGAAGATAGAAATGCGAAGTTTATCGTAAATCTAAACTTAAATCTTAAATTGACCCCTTGTCAACTTCATTGCTTATTTTCCTTTTTGTCGTAGGGTGGGCTATTTTAAAAAAGGAACATAGATTTGGATACGTTTTAAGGTTTCAGTATTACTCATTAGCTATAGGAAGGTGACTTAGGGAGGGACGGTGCCATGACGGTCTCAGCTGAGCCCTGCCAAGGTCGAGGCAGCTGTGCAGGGTACCTTGCACCCCTTCAGGCTCATGTCTTTTCTGTTTTGTTCTTTTCTCTCTTTTCTTCTTTTTCCTTCTCTTGCCTTATTTATTTTTTCATTACTCCCACTTCCCCTTCCCCCTCCTGCTCTTCCTTTCTCTGTCTGTGGGACCACGTGCTTCAAATCTGTGTATCTGGACTGCCTTCCCTCACAGTTCCCTGTGAGTGTTAGCAGAATGAAAACCAGATGGACCAGCAGTTCCCACTGTTATCTCCCAGCCGACTCTGGCAAGCCTCCCTTTTTCCCTCCCTCCTTGGCATGACAGAAATATTTGCCTTTATTTAGGGAGACTTGTATTTGCTGCTGTACCTCTTCCCTCAGCTGCAACATAAGCGGAAAGCTATTTATTCCCTTGTTGCTGAGGTTGGTTGAGGTGAGTAGAACGTGCAATGTAATTTAACTATTGAAGAAGCAGTTTTAAGCCTATCTAACTTCTACATTTTTCTAGAATAAGCGGCTTACTGATACTGGTTGTTAAGTGTTCTGGAATAGCAGTACGAAGACAAGTTTTTAACAATAAGCTAAAGGTAAAAATGCTTTCCACGTGAGCCTGTACCATCATTTCACTCAGAACATTTATTAACATTCATTGTTACTTACTCAGCAGCTGAGATTAAGGAATAGAGACCCAGGTACTACTTATTGGTAACTAGATCATCATGTAGAATGATCTGATTAGAATGACCATTTTCATCCTATTACTTCATGTGCTCTAAAATGGGATCAACATTGTTTCAACTTTCCAAGGTTGTGTTTTGTTGCAACCCAAGTCTTTAAAAATTGCTTTGAGCAAAGGTGAGGTAGGTTTGGAGTCGTCATACTGGTAATTTGGGTTTTTCATTTTCTTTTCATAACTGACCTTTAAGTACTTTTGAGAATTTCTCACTCTGGTTGTTACATGTGTCATATTTGAAAAGGCTTGTTCTTTTTAAATAGTGTCTGCGACTTTCCTGAAAGTCTGCCTGTGAAATATTTGTGTCTATGGCTGCAAGAGGTGCCTCAAAACATTTTTGGGGTGTGTGTATGCATGTGTGTGTACACATGTTTGTAGAAAATTGGATCTAAAGATGCAAACAAAAATCTGTCATTTTTACTGGAGATCTGTTGCTTTGATAAGTAGATTAGATTGAGAAAAACACTTCAACATTTGAAGGGAAAAGTATACTTAAGAGAAAACAGTTCTGAAGTACAAATGTCCATATTGAGTAAGCAGGAAATATCTCCATGTCTGTCACATATTCATGGAAAAAAAAAAAAACTAGGAGTATCTTCAGTTCTTTTTAGTTCTCATTTTGAAACTTTTATATTCTTACTCTAAGATTATTAATTGGCATATTGGTCTCATATTTTTAAAATAGCAGGTCTTAAATTCACACATTCTAAGAAAAAAATAGCTTCGCTTCACTGCGTCATGTACAGCAGTTAGGGAGTGGTGATTTTTTAAAACAGGGCAGAAAAATTGAAGTAAGAGAGAGAGAGATGTCTGCCAAACAGAACCTGCTTCCTCTAATAGGCTAGAAAACTGAGGCTAGAAAGGGGATAGCAGGTGTTACAGAAATCATCACAAAGAGCCAGCTTCCACCAGGATCTCACCTGCGTAACAGACTTCAGGTTTCTGTTATTTTCTAAGCTGTCATGAGGGGTTCATTATCATCCTACTTCCTCATCTATTTTCTACCTCTTGCTAACACTGGCTTCAGCTTGCAATGAAGTTGTGCTGTTGCCTGTAACACCACCAAGGTAGCATCTGCCTAAGCCAGAAATAACAATAGGCTATAATATAACCTAGTTACAAATGGGGTCCTGCCATCTGCGATACACCATCTTCCGTGGAGTTTGGGTGATAAAATCCTGATTTAAACTTCAGTAGATAAGCATATTTTATGGATAGAAGATGTTGTATTTCTTCTGTTCACTTGCTTTTAAAAAAGATAAACCCTACTTGAAAATCGAAGGTGCTTAAGGAGTAAACTAACATGTTCCTGGTGGCACCCTGCAGATCGTACTGAGAAGCTCTCCACAATGCCAGACTCACCTGTGGATGTGAAGACGCAATCTCGGCTGACTCCGCCAACGATGCCCCCTCCCCCAACCACCCAGGGAGCTCCAAGGACCAGTTCATTTACGCCAACGACGCGTAAGTGCTCCTTGCAGTCTTCTGAGTTTTGATTTCGAAGCTTAAATTAGATTGTTTTTCCTTCAGATGAAAAATCAAGGGAAAATTGGATTCAGCAACAAAGTATTATGTGGAAATGAAGCAAAAAAAAAAAAAATCATTTGTTTGCCCGTGAGTGAGCATAGAAGGGTCATAGCTTATGTGTCATTTGTAGGACTGCCAGTTTTTCCCTGCCTTTTCATTGTTGCTTCAAAGTTTTAGTTTGCTCATTTAGTGTAGCAAATGAAGCTAAATTTGGTGTCTAACACCAGTCATTGTCGTTAGAACTTTCAATTCCTCTGAATGTGGAGCTCTTTTAGTTTGTTGTTTGACTTCGAACATGGAAATGTGTTATAATTATTTCCAGGTTACTTCTGATCTTCTACTATCATTTCTTCTATTTCAAACTGCTCTAAATAATGTTAATGTCTAACATCCTTAAGGTAAAGAGTATGGGGATATGCAACAGGCTCACGCAGGCAACTCTGAAATAAGTAGTATCTTCCTTGACTCCAACCTGCGACACTCTCATTAAACCTTTACTCCATTCTCACGTGCTCTGATTAGGTGGAGGGCGTTGCTTTCTGTATTGTTGAAGGAAAGGACAGAACATTCTGATGGAATTGCCGCTTCTCCCTCATTCCTGGGTATTTCAGTAGGAATAGAGGCTCACTTTGTTTTAGCCAAGTGTCAAAGTCCCAATTCAATTGCCATCAAGGATTTGTAAAAGTAATAAACATTATCTGTTGCAGATAATTCTATTTGCAAGCCATGTGCCATGAAATCCATATGAATGAAAAATTAACAGGTAAAAATAGATCCATGGGACTAATAAGCGATCAGCAAAATACCCATACCCAGTTGTTTACGCAGTGTTGCTTTGGCATTTGAAAGACCTTTCTCAGGGTGTAAGGAGTGGCTACTGTGCTGTGCCAAGTTGTAACTCTGTCATCTTAACATTTGGTTTGTTGTCACCCAAAGCCACAGAGATAGACATAAGTCTCTTGGGAAGTACCCTGACGGGTTACTTTGCTACACATTTGAGACAAGAGAACCATTTTATTATCTTAAATGAAACTTTAAAAAATAACAGGGTCCTTAAAACCTTTTCAAACTATTATTAGAGATAGTTTGTCAAAATTATATTGAAAATGGATTTGACAGTGATCAGTTTGTCCAATTAATTGATCTAACATGCTAAAATCAATGGTGAGAAATATGCAGACTTTTTAGCCTACATCTTATACATTATCATCCATTTTGGTTTTTTAAAATTCATTTATTGTGTAATAATTGTACATATTTGTAGGGTACAGAGTGATAGGGATTATCATCTCAATGTTCAAATAAATTTTATTGGAAATAAATTTACTAAATTAACCACCAATCTATGTTCCTGGTTGGATTGAGATGTCCCCTTTTGACCTCCTCTGTAAACACTATGTCTATTTTGTACATAAAATTTTACATAAATTTTGCATTTTTCCTAAAGAAGTGGTTAGGAAGTATGGGGGAGGGGGAGAAAATGGCCTTCTAATTGGGTGGTGGAAGGTTAAAACTCGAAAGTCCTATTTCTGTAAACACAGCTGTCAGTTGTGTGTACAAAACATGATTAAAAATGTTCAGTGATAAATTTAGTCTCCACCAAATGTACGCGCTCTCTAGGGGAGCAGTTGAGAAAGGAAGAGTCCTGTTCTATCGATGGAGGCCCGAGACAAAAGGCTGACATCCAAAGCTGTCTGTTGTGAGCTTGAGACATTTCAGGTGGTTGGCATATGTGCACATGGAAGGCAGGCCCCGTTTATTATCAGCTTCTGTGCAGAACACCATTGCTCAGTAAGAGAAATAGGCCCATTGAGTTACAGAGTACCTGAGAATGTGGTGATGCTGGGAAATCTAAGCATTTTATGAAAAGTCCCAATGCTTTTAAAATTACAAACCCCCTAGATTTAAAGGGAAGAAAGCCTGGCAGTTTCCTTGCGCATGTTCTCTGTGAATTCATACTTTCCTTCTGATTTTGTGCCCTTGACAGTAACTAATGGCACGAGCCATTCACCTACAGCCTTGAATGGCGCCCCCTCACCGCCCAATGGCTTTAGCAACGGGCCTTCCTCTTCTTCCTCCTCTTCTCTGGCTAATCAACAGCTGCCCCCAGCCTGTGGCGCCAGGCAACTTAGCAAGCTGAAACGGTTCCTTACTACCCTACAGCAGTTTGGCAATGACATTTCACCAGAGATAGGAGAAAGAGTCCGCACCCTCGTACTGGGACTGGTGGTAAGCAAATGGAAATTCACCTGATTTTCTGGGGTAAGGGAGAGTGTGTGGGGGAGATTCAGAAATACAGCCCCTGTTCTCACAGCTGTTGTGTTACAATAGTTTCTGAAGCCTGTGTGCAAGTCTGATTCATTCTGTAAAAATCCTGTTTCAGCTCTGAACCATGTATGTACTGACCCCCACCGTGGAGTCAGTGTTATATTGGCCATAAATGTGTGTATATGTACTTATACATGTTTGTGTGTATCTGTACCTGTTCATATATACACATTTATGTGAGTGTATATGTACGTGTGTGTATATATGCATTAGAGGCATTTTGTTCAATGTTTTAATAAGTATCCTCTCTCAGCATGGCTAGTGGCTTTTAATACCGACAAAATGGTGTAGTTATGTTGATTTACTTAATCTAATTGGCTGCTCATTTAAACGTAGTTGCTCTGAGAAATTTTTATTATTGGCCTAGAAAAACACAGATTTATAACAATGCATTCTTTCTTTATGTAGTTTTATTTTTAAGGCTAACAACATTAATTTTTAAAAATTTTTTATACGTAAAGTTTATTGTTTTAACCATTTTCAAGTATTCAGCTCAGTGGCATTAAATACAGCTATGTGATTATACAGTCGTCACCACTGTTCATCCCTAGGACTTTTTCATCACCCCAAACTGAATCTCTGTACCCATAAAATAATAACTCCTCATTCCTCTTTACTTCCAACCATAGATAGCTGCTAATTGTTTTTTAAAAAGAAATCTAACTCTTTATTATAAGTAGAACTATTTAAACCATCAGTTTGAGAACAGAACTGTTGGTTTTGGTACATTCTACTACTTATTCTGTAGAATAATTTTCACACTGGAAATTAGAACATATATCCCCCTTTTTTTTTTTAAGACAGAGTCTCACTATGTTGCCCTCTGTACAGTGACGCGGTGTCACAGCTCTCAGCAACCTCCAGCTCTTGGGCTTAAGTGATTCTCTTGCCTCAGCCTCCCAAGTAGCTGGGATTACAGGTGCCCACCACAATGCCTGGCTATTTTTTTGTTGTAGTTGTTTAGCTGGCCCCAGATGGGTTTGAACTCGCCACCCTTGGTGTATGTGGCTGGTGCCATAACCACTGTGCTATGCGCGCCGAGCAATATATTCCCTTTTTCACTCTAAATTTCTTTTACATTTGTTGTTATTTTTGTGTACAAGTGGAGAATTTGCTAGTATTCAGGAAAGCCATTTTCTCATAGCAAACCCAATTGTGGAGTTAGCTGAGTCATATACTGAATCCTTTCATCATCGAGGCTTATGGTAGAACTAAAATTGAGATGATGGGCAGTAGTTTCCTTTTCCTTAAAATAGATCATGTTTTTTTTTATTATTTGGACCTACCATGGGCAAAGCCATGCCAGTTGTGTTTGGCACAAGAAGTCCTAGAATTGAAAGGCTGAGATACTAGTACAGAAGTCATGCTTTAAATTACTCTGTCCCACATTTGACAAAGATTTTGCGATTTGATTTTTAAGCATTAACTGCCTCTCCTCCCCACTCTAAGAACAGAAGACTCTCCTCTTTCCCACAATCTGCCAGCCCCACCTTGTGCACTTCTAGGGCAGGAAGGTGACTGGACAGAGGGGTCAGCACACTTCAGGGGCTTTCCTTGGTCACTCGCCATTTCCTCTGTACTCATTCTGGAGTTTTACGTAAGAGGCTTTTCACCATGTAACTGAGTTGGCCCAAAGAACTACATAATGCAAAGCAAATCAAGTCAATGCTGAATATGTTATTCTTAGTAAAATAAGATTTTTAAAAACTACCTTATTAATTTGGTATGTTTTTCATTAACAACGGTTCCATAACTTAAAATGTAGAAAAATTCAGTAGCTATAAGTAGTTTTTTATGCATAACAAATAGCATAATTCTGAATGAAATACCCTTAACAAATATTTATTTATCCAAAGACTTTCCAGAGAAAAGTAAAGGGGCGATATTAATTAATGGTGCTCACATACAATGGTGAGTGAATATTTGTCAAATGGAGAATGAATAGAAAACAGATGCTTAAGTATTTGATTATATACCATTTTACTTAATTCTTACAACTGCCCTGTGAGTGATTTCTTTCCTTTTTTTTTTTTTTTTTGAGGGAAAGATTTTTATACACATTTTACACATGGGGAAACGGAGATTGATGAAGATTAAGTAAAACATGCCAGGCCACCCAACTGGAGTGAATCAAAGTGTGGTTGGTTTATTCCAGGGCCTTGGTCAGGTCGGTGGGTAGATTCTTTTACCAACACACGTTACCCATAGTAGGATACAAATCCTGAGGTTTAGGAGTTGTTTATTTATATGTAGGGTAGTTTAGGAGTGAATTTAGGTCATGTTGATCGGTCTTTTTGTGAGTTGAGTATACACATTGCCCCTACACTAAAGGGAATGTCTTTGATAATTGGGAAATGTTTTTACCCTCTACGCACACAACTTGGTGACTCAGAAAAGGCACAGACCTTTTCTCTGGCTTCATTAGCATTGCGCACTACCCAACTTGGCTGTTTACCCTGAGCAAAGATGCT